CAGATCTTGTTTCTGTGATGTATCTAAACTTATTTATATATTCTAATATTTCTGTATGTAAATTCATTAGCAACCCCATATGGGAGCAAGTCTGTGCATAAAGATAGATTTACTTCATTCTTCCTGATCTGGATAACTTTTATTTTAATGATTTTCTTATCTAATTGAATCTGAGGATAATCCTATTATTAATCTGTTGTTAGTTTCTTAAAATTTATATCTAATTGAGAAGTCATAATTGGGTATGTTCATGGAGTATAATGTGATGTTTATATATATGTGTGTGTGTGTGTGTGTATATATATATATATATATACACACATATATACATATGTATAAAATAGTAAAAATGAATCAAGTTAATTGACATAGGCATCACCTCACCAATTTACTTTGTTTAAATGTTAAAAACCTATTGTTTTGGGGCTGGCAGGTGGTGTGGTGGTTAAGGGCACTGGACTCTCACATGGCTGACTGCAGTTCGAGTATCTGACCTGGTGGCTTGCTTTTTCACTTTCTCTCTCCCTCTCTCCCTCTCTGGTCAAATAAAGCTAAATAAGTGAACAAGTAAAGTTAAATAAAATAGTTCTTTAGAAAAATCTATTATTTTTATGTTAATTTGATTTCTTTCTTTTATGGAAGAGGGAGAGAGAGACTCCTCCAAACAGGTGTTCACACTGCTTTTTCTCCCAGCCTCAGTACGCCTGCATCTCTGGCAGGACTGCAAGCCTTCAGCGTGCAGAGAAAGATGCAGGGATACAAACCGAGGACCTTCCATGTGTCTAGGTGTGCTCCTGCTGTGACATTATCTGGCCCTTCAGGTAATTTTTCCTGTCCCTCTAATTTGTGGGGATTCATAACTTTTGAAACTTATAAAAACTTTTCAGTTTCAAAGAACATGGACAAAAACGTGTAAACAGAATGGAATAAAATTTTTCTAAAACGTATATCTTATAAGGGACTTATAATACATAAAGAACTCTTACAACTGCAAAAGAATGAATAATAAATAAAACATGAGTGAATATTCTGATTAGATATTTTTTCACATTATATATACAAATGGCCAAAAGGCACACAAAAATATGCTTAACATCATTACTGGTCAAGGAAGTACAAATCAAAATTACTAAGAAATATACACACTATGATGACCGCAACAAAAGAGACAAATACTAAAAGTGTTAGTGAGGATAGGGAGAAATTGGAACCCACACATGCTGACACGCTATATGTCAGAATATGAAACAGTGGCATTTGGGTTGGTTCCATGTCTTAGGAGGTGTTATCGGTTGACAATATTTTGATCAACTGGACTGGGGAGAAATGTTCACATATTGAAATGTTCACTTTGTAAGCTAAATAATGTGATTGAATGTATATAAAATGTTAAAATTTAAAAAATTTTTAAAAAAGAATATGAAACGGTGCATCGAGGTATTTATGACAATAGAACAGTCTCACATTTTCACTGAAAGTTAAATATAGAGTAAATATGTGATCCAACATTGCTGGGTAATATTTCACTGCTTGGATATAACATATTTTGCTAATTCATTCTCCAACTGAATAACATGAGATTGTTTCCAGGCTTTGACTATTAAAAATAATGCCATTCTGAATATTTCCGTGAATGTATTCTGAAGAAATTGTGTGTTTTCATTTATATCAGGAGGTTCATCGGAGTGGAAGTTGACAGTTGCATGTAAACTGTTCTCCAAAGCAATTGTATCATTTTATGTCATGGTCCACATATTTTGTTTTTTTTAGATGATACCCACTCTAGTGGGAGTGAAGGGGCTCCTCTAACTTCCTGTTAGTCTTTTCCCTGATAACTGGAGATATCTAGCTTTCTCCTAAGAGCTTATTATCTAGTCACGTATCTATTCCTCGATCCATTCATGTATCACACTTTAGTGAAATGCATATTCAAATCTTTGCCTTTTTTATTGTATTTTTTATTTAAATCTATTTACTTACATTCATTCACTATACATCATTATAGCATACATAATGAGATTTTCCATCCAGAATACACTGTATATTGGCTCAATCAGGCACATCAACATACGTGTTATCGTCAACAAATAGTTTTCCATTTCTTGTTTCCTGTTTATTTTACCTTTTTTCCCATCCTTGATGCCTGTTTTTTAGATCTTTTTTTTTTTTTTTTTAATTTGGCCACTTCTCATCTTACTTTAACTGGTAGGAATTTTTATATTCTGAATATTTCCAATATTTTCCCTCACTTTGTGGCTTGTCTTTTGAAGAGCAAGCACAGTTAATTTTGATGAGATCTGACAACGGTATATTTTAACAAAGCTCTGTAATCCTTGAGAAGAGTGAATTAAAAAAGCAAAGCAAAGCAAAACCCAAAGACCAATAAACCCATCTTTTGTGTTTTGGGTAATGTTTTACTGCAAGAAAACAATCTTGTCTGCATTGCTTAGATCAGACTAAGATACCCTCCCTTGTTACTCATGAAAAGGCTAGACACAGACCCTTCAAATTCCAACTCTTTGCCTCATAAGTGATTAGCTGAATTGCTTGTCTCCACTGATCAATGCTTATTAACAGCATTCCTGTTCTCTACACTTTGGTTAAGCCTCTCTTCTCCCCCAGGTCTCTGAACTTTGGCTCACCCTTGGCCTGAGCCAGTGTACATTTCTCCATAATAGCTCTCCCTGAGAAAGGCTGACCTCAGGGTAAAACATTCTCTGTTGTGGTGTCCAGCTTCTGTTGACATCTGATCATCCTTCTCCTGTACAGTCCACTTCTCAGCACCCAGTTCTTACAGCATCGCTATTCCTCTTACAAAGTAAAACCATTTTTACCTAACCTTTGAGTACTGGTCCACCCAAGGTCAGACAGCTGTTCTTGTTGCAATAGTTCCCTTCACCCTTTGCAATAATCCTTCCAGATAACACATCTCATGCTAAATCCATAACTGTTCAGTTTTGAACTTTTTTTGACTGGTTCACTTAATCAGCTTTACTTTTACAACTCTTGGTCACATCAAACAACTCGTTGTCTAATATAAAATCAGCAAGATTTTCTCATCTGTTTACTTCTAAATATTCTAGACTTTTGACTTTCAAATTAGGGTCCTAGTCATTTTGTAGAATTTGTGTATGATGGGAGGTAAAGGTAAAAATTCAGCCTTTTCTGTATGTATGTACAATCGTTTCAACATCACTTTTTGGAAAGGACTGTCTTTTCCCCCATTGAATTTATTTTGCAGCATTATAAAAGGTCAATTTATCACAAGTGTAATGGTCGTTTTCCACACTCTTGGGCTGTTTTCTTAATCTGTATACTGACACTATATTTTATTACTATAGCTCTGTATTAAGTTTTGAAATTGAAGGTGAAAGCTTCCTCAAGTTGTCCTTTTTGTTCACATCGTTTTGTGTTGTACAGCTCATTTGGATTTCCATGGCTTAGACCTAGATTTCTTAGACTTAAGGTGATGGTTTCTGTTAATACCTACAGGAATCATGGTAAAAATTGTCTTGAAACTGTAGGGTAATTTGCAAAGAATTATCTTTTTACTCATATTTACTCTTCCAACTCATCAAGTATGTTCAACATCATTACTGATCAAGGAAATGCAAATCAAAATTAAGAAATAGACTCACTAAGGTACCAATAATAAAAAAGATTAACAATATCAAGTGTTTGTGAGAATATGAAGAAATTGGAAACCAAATACACTACAATGAGGATGTGAACCTGCACCTAATGTTTCTGACAGGAGTTCGAGCAGTCTGACGTGTTCAC